CATAGCCATTACGCTAACTGCTGGTGGCCAGGTGTTTGCTTTTCAATAGCTGATATGAGTAGTTGACATGTAAACATTTTCTCAAAAATATGTAAAACCGTACTGTCTCTGTTATAGAGTCACAAACAAAATTATAACAAATATTTGGAACATTATCTTTAAAATTCAGGGTTTTTTTGAAAATTTGAAAGTTATTAACTGTCAAGAACTATGGAGTATGAGCAAAATTTTTTGATATATAAAGTAAATGTTTGTGAGAAAATGTAAAAATAAATAAGTGATTAAAAAATAGAAAGAGAACTTCCCCCTCTTCATTTTTGGATGAGGAAAGTCTCCCCAGCACCTGACATTCCATAGATGCCCAATATATTCTTTGCGAATAAATGAATTATTTCATAATTTTTGGAACAAGTCCTTTTCTTGTCCTGCTATTTATGAAGAAGCAACAGAATACCCACTTGGAAGACTGCGTTTACAGTTTCCTTGACTCATTTTGCACTGGGAGCAGCAGAACTGAGGGGCAGGGGTAGGGGGGAATCCCAGGAGTCACATGAGGGAAGAGATGGGAGGAATGCGGAAGTAAAGACCTCTTGAATACTTCCATATTTGCTGAGAGCTTTCAGAGCTTGCAGCCACAGTGGGCGGCATCTGTGTTTCCGAGGAAGAAAAAAATCCAGGCCTAAGGTATGCAGATGCAAGACCAGCACCCCAACTGTCCTCTCCCTTCTCTATCTCAGTCCATGAGGTTGGGGTGGAGCTGAATTTAGCCAATTACATTTAGCCAATTAGAATGCTTCACTCCCTGCAGACTGTGATTGGCTCAGGTATGGACACATGATCCAATGAGAACCAATAAGATTTAATTCCAGGATCTTTGTCTCACTGTGGGAAAAGAAATTGGCCAGTTGGTCTTGAGACTGCTAGTTGGTGCTATTTTTACTACCCCATGGGTAGAGGTGGTCCAAGGCTGGAGCCTGCCTAGAGAAAGGATGGCCAAGAAATGGAAAGGAAGAGAAGACCAAGCCCTGATTACCTTGCCTGAGCCCTGGATCCAGCTATGCCTGAACTACTCCTGTACATTTCAGTTACATAAACCAATAAATTGTTCCTCCTTTTCGTGAGCAAGTGTGAGGCCCTGTCACTTGTGTTTGAAACTTGGGGACGATGAAAGTAGCTACTTCATGGATTATGGGGAGGAGTAAACAGACTTGCCCACTTCAACCCTCAGCACAGTGCCTGGATCCTGCTATTCAGGCAGTACCTGTTACACACAGGGACAGTACCCCGGCAGATTTTCCAAGGAAGATATTAAGAACCGAGGAAAGGCTTTCACTGTGGCTGTAAAGTGGTGCACATGCCCTGCCCCTCTAACCCTCCCCTCTCACCCTCCCTGGGAAGGTCTTCATCCCGCTCAGGCCCTGCTCGATAAGAACTGGAAAAACACTGAGGTCATCACCTCTGCGTTCCAACGGTGTTTCAGATCCATGTAAACATCAGCCAGCTTGTCGATCTCTCTAACAGATGTCTCTGGGGTGGTGTGCAGGGGGACGATCACAAAGTCCTTGACAGCTGAGAAACAGGAAAGAGGCAAGGTCACATACTTCCCGTGTCAACACAAACACCACTCAGAGGAAACAGGCTCTCCCTTCCAGAAGGTACAGGTTGCATCCACTGGGTCCCCAGTTCCCAAAGGGTCCAGTCAGTGGTTGAGGCGTTGTTTGTTTGTTTGTTTGTTTATTTATTTATTTTTTGCTAGAGGGTGCTTGTACTTGCCAGAGAGAGAGATGGAAAGGGAGAGGGAGAAAGCAGCCCTCAATGGGTCATGGTTACCTGCAGTCCGTTCTCATTTCTCCAACCTGTTGGGATTTGGGGCATGCATGCACATGTACCCCGGGGCTTTTGTTAAGCCACCAGGGCCAGTAAATTAGAACTGTGTAGTCAGCCATGTGGGATCCAGCTCCTTTGACCACTAGACTACAGTGCCTGCCCCTTGGGTTGCTTATTTTTAGTACCTGAAGACTCTGTTCTCCCATTTGCCCTTCCTGGCTAAGAGCAAGCTGTAGAGTGTACCCCTCGTTGGCATTATAGATGCTTTTATTTTTTCTCCCTCTCTCTTTTTTGGGCAAATCTATATTTTCTTTTTATTTCTGATATAGTTTTTCTTCTGAGATTTTAAGTTAAATAAAAATGGAAATATACAGCCATAGTTTTAATTTTTGAACAATAATGTCTGGCTTTTATACTCAGAAAAACATTTTTTTTTTTTGACGCACATTTTAAGGTGCGTCAGTTTATATTCCTTTTGTGATCAAGACTAAAAGTCCAAAAATGTTATTTAAAAAAACAAGATGGTCTTTTGTGAAGTGTCTGAAACCACCCTCCCCACCCCACCCCTCCTCCCGGGGGTGCTGAGAGAGCGGGAGTGTGGCAGTGTGGCTGAGCCTGGGAGGCAGTGCCTTGCCAATTGCTAACAGCAGCTGTGGAGTCTAAGCACCCCTTCTTTGGATGGATATTCCCCTCATGCTCTGCCCAGAGATCTGGGCAGAGAGAGCAGGCTGTGGGGTGGTGATGGCTTAAGACATATGGTGGGCAGTCAGGACTCCCACCAGCAACCTTCCTCCAGGGCCCAGACTCATCCACCAGCATCCCTCCAGCTCTCCTCCTCGGGCCTTAGCTTCAACCCCTATTCCCCCCTTGGGTCTCCCAAAATACCCACCCCTTTCCCACCTCTGAGTGCTGTGTTCATAGAGCCCTCTGCCTCAAACGCCTTTCCCCAGTGCTCTCTATGGCGGCTTCTTCAGGTCACAGCCCAGTGTCACCAAAGGCTGTCCTTGGCTGCCCTATCGAAGGTGCCCTCCCCAACTCTACAGTTCGGTGCGCTCCACTCATGACTTTCTTTATGCTCTGAAGTTACATTCTTCACTTCTTTGGCCCCCTAAACCCTAACTCCATGAAGGCAGGCTTATTTATCTATTTTGGTCACCCTCTTGGCTCCAGACCCTAGCACAGCACCTGACACATTGGATGAACTGAAAATGTTTATCGACTGAATATATGAATGAATGAATGATTTGATAAATGAATGAATGAGAAAACATGGATGAATAGCTAGCTCCTTCATCTTTAATTCCAGATCAAATGGATGTAGGAGGCTTCCTTGGCCAAGAAAAAACAAAAATAAAAACAAAACTCCAAATAGGCAGTGCTATCCCAGGGGATAAGGAGGGGTAGGGAAGCATGGAAGGGTAGAGACTCAGACAAGCAGTTTGCTCAGCATTTCCCAAAACCTCAGGTCTCTTTTGAGAATAAATCATTATTTGGGCATGAGAGGATGAGAGGACTCTCTGAACATTGTCCTGATAAGGCAAATGTGACTCATATGTCTGACAAAGACAATTATTGCACACGTTTTCTGAAGAGCACTTCTTGCCCTCAATAGCCCCCCTCCCCTTTCTCTTTCTCTATTGGGAATTCCCTACCAGTCTCCCATATTTAAACTCTGCCCCTGAGCTGATTAACCCTGGGCAGAAAGAGTTCATTTCACAGTTTAGGAAGTTTGTAGTATAGATTTAGGTCTACCTACTTATAACTCTGCATATATTTATGCTGTCATGATCTGTCTCCTCTACTACAATACAATTTCACAACAGCAGGAACCTTATCTGTCTTCCCCAGTGCTCTCAACAGAACCTGGCACTTAGTAGGTACTGAAAAAAACAGTTGATTCTATGAAGATAGAATCCGAAAGCCAGCTTTAATGCTTGACTTTCTATTGTGTGTTGCTTAGTGGTTAAAGAGCGTGGATGCCCAAAGCAGTGGCTTGGGTTACCGCCCTGGCCCATCCACTTCAGTAGTTGGGTGTTTTTGACTAGTGAGTACTTCCTTGAACCTCAGTTTTCTTGAATGTAAACCTCAGTTTTCTCATCTATAGCCCTAGTCCCTATCTGTAGTGTCTTTGTCAGGGTTATAAGAGGTCGACGACTTAATCAGGGTTAACATGAGTACTACTGTTAAGAGTTCCGGGTGCAATCTGTTTGCTTTCCTCTCTCCCCAGTCTTTAGAAGGGACAGCCATATAGTGACTGGGGGGTTGGGGGATTAGTGATACTGTAGGCTGAGGGTTCTTCTTTGGTGGCCATTGCTTGGGGATTTAGAAATGAAGGAGTAGTTGTCCTTGCCAGGAACCATGGAGTTTCTTTTTAAAAAATAATTATTCAATGTTATCTATTTATTATTATTCTTCCATTTCACTAGAGAGAGACAGAGAGAGGCAGAATGAAAAGGCAAGCCGTCAGGTCTGGGACTTGAACCATGGTCAGCCATGTGGGAGTCCAACACCTTAACCACCACACCACCTGCTGGCTTCAGGAACCATGGATTTTCCATAATAATTTCCAAGAATCTAAATGCCCCAAAGAGAGTGGACTTATCATTGACTCTGGAAGGTGGGTTCCAGACTTGAGCGATGGCATTCTGAGAAGAAAGCCTGGTGCTGTCAAACAAAACTGCATTCTCTACATCCAGGAATTGGAAAAGTCAATATGCTGTCATCTCAAACCTAAAAACGCTCCGCAAAGCCTGCGATGACAGCTTATACTCAAAGCTCACTCATGGGCTGCTGGGGAGGTCACAGTGAGAGGGACCTGGAGTCTCACCAGTGTGTGGTGACTGGAACCAGACCACAAAGGGCTCCCTGGAAAACACGTCTCCATCTTCATCATCAGGGTAGCAGTAGCTTTTCTTCACAGAGACCAGCTTTTCCCTAGAAGAGAAAACAGGAAGTGCTTTTAGCTGAGTCCGATGTTTTCTCGGTCACTCAAAAAGCAGAGGTTGAGGTTCCCATGGCTTTGTTAGCTGGCAGAGTGGGCTCGAGAACTGGAAGGATCTTTTGCCTGAGAATGAGGCGGAGTCAACCCTTAATAGCCAAAAGCCTCTGGGAGCTGAAGATCTGAGTCATACTGGGTATCTGGGTACCCATTAGACACAACAGTTACTAGTAGGGAGAAGATGCAGTCTGAAAGTTCAAGTGTCCAGCCCTTGGCCAGGACTTGACCTTGAGGCATAGAGAACTCCTGACCCAGGCAGCCATGGAGTCAACCAACAAATTGGGTGTTAGGAAGCTGCCTGTGTTTTCTTATTTGAAGCATTAATACTTCGTCTAAGCCCCAGGCTTTTTTCTCCCCCTTTTAATTCATGGTAGAGAGTGTATACCATACATGAGAGAGATTAAGTACCCTCTACAGGGTCTTGTCATGCCTCAATCCCTTTTTCCTGACTCTCCAGTTCATCAGGATCTTGGGCATACATGCACACACGTGTTTTCAAGCCACCCAGGGATCCGAACCTGCAGACGGCCATGTGGCCTCTGACACTGCAGTTTAGCTTGCTACCAACTGCATCACCAGCCTATGACTTCAGTTTTGTTTGTTTTTTAAACTTTCTAAAAGGTATGCACACTTGTGAGAGTGTGAGAGAGAGAGAGAGAGAGAGACAGAGGGAGAAAACCACCCTCCATAGGGATGGTCACACCACAGCTCCTTCTTCATTTCTCCCTCCTTTCAAGATTTTGGGCACACATGCACATGTGCCCTGCATGTTTTTTCAAGCTGCTGGGTCCAGGACTCAAACCATGCAGTTGGTCATGTAGGACCCAGCAACCTTAACCACTACTCCATCAACTGACCCAAACCCCAGTTTTGACAGCAGAGTTTTTGGTCAACGTTGAGAACAGATTAGAGAGCAAGACCTGGTTTTGAAGAAAAGATGTATGTTGATTGCATTCACGGTCATCATTTCTCAGGGGACCGTGTCCCAGGGCTCCGGAGGACACTCACCTGTAGAGAAAGGCGTATTGCTCTTTATACTTGTTTCTTCCCAGCCGAGAGCTAATCACGTAGTTGTATGTGATGCCTCTCCTTGAATTTCTAGAAAATAGAGATTTCACATCACATCTTAAAGAACATACATGTTTAAAAAAATTATTTATTTAATTTTATTTGGTATTATTACTTATTTTTAAAATTTGACCAAAGAAAAAGGGAGAGTGAGAAAGCAAACTGCCAGGTCTAGGACTCGAACCATGGTCAGTCAAGTGGGAGTCCAGCTCCTCAACCACTATGCCACCTGCCAGCCCCCACATCTTAAAGACTAAACATTCCCCCACTGCTTACATTCCCCTCTGCCTAGTCTGCCTTCCTGTTTTCCATGGCATCACATGGAAGGGCCGCTGTTCCTCATAACCTCTGAGTCCACTAAGAAACGCCACCACCGACTGGGAATGGGACATCTGCGAGAATCTTTACAGACATCACTTCCTGCCCCTGAAAGGTGGATAGTATTATTACTCCCTCTTTATAGTAATCAAGTCCAAAACTGGGAGTTGAACTCAGATCCAACTAATTTCCAGTCCCACACGCTTTGACCTGCACTGGTGGGAAACCATGAAACCCATGGAGGATCACTCAGGCCAGAATCAGCTCAGACTCCCCTCTGGTCCATGGCTGGGCTGCGGCTTAGACTTCCTGGAGGGGTAAACTTCATTAGGTCACCAAGCCCATGGCCACATGCCATTCCTGGATGTTTATCATTTGCAGGGAACTTCTCTCCTCCGAAACTCCTCAGGCATTTTCTCACAAGTCCCGGGACTATTGTTTCCAGTTGCTTTTGTTGGTATCGTGGGTGCTGGGATGCAGGCATGAGGGCCCATTGACCCAAGCCTTAGTTCTACCAGGGAAACTGGACTGTGTGTGTGTTTGCCAAACCAGCTGGTAATTCCACTCAGGGCAGAGCCTGACACAGTTTCACTCCCTCTGCCCACGGAAAGATTTAGGGCATGGCTAAGGTTGCAACATCTTCTCAGGTGCAGTTGGATAAGGGCAGCCAATCTAGACCCTTACCAACATCCCTGGACTTCAGATGCCTGTTCTCAGGTAGGCCCAGCCCTGCAGCCCAGGAATGTGGATACTTGACTCTGCTGGGCTTCCACATCTGGGGAGGCTGGCTCTGTCCTGCATCCAGCCTGCCAATCCCAGCTTGTGATGACTCAGGCCTCTTCTGCTTAGCAGGGATAAGGGCATCCAGGCCCAGCTCCGCCCGAGTCCACAGCACAGTCTGGGCAGGATGGGGAGTGCCCAGACCACTGGCAGTGGAAAGGCTCACCCCAGACTGACTGCAGGGACCTGCCTGGAGCCCCCTTGTCCCCTTAGTCCTTCCCACTCCTGGAAACTGACTGGAAAGGCTGAGGGGGCTCAGACCAGAGCACTGGCTTTGGGTCAGACATGACCCAGGTTCAAAGGTAGGCTTGGCCACTTACTGGTTGGGTGGCTTTGGGGAAGTCCCTCCTCTCTGGGCCTCCTCTCTGGGCCCCACAGGATCACACACTGAAATTGATTAATAGGATGCCTGGCTTGTAGTTAGGGGATAGTGGTGTTGTAACATATGGCTCCTGGACCCCGCCTGCCATGGGACTCCCTTCCTCTCACTCGTGGTGGACATTACGGGCACTCACAGACCACGGCTCTATGGCAGGCGCTATCCAAGCACTTACACACGTGCTTTAACTGCGTTATCACAACGTCCCACGGAGATGGCTTCTATGAGCCCCATTTTGCAGTTCGGGGTGATGAGACACAAAGTTTAGCAACTTGCCCAAGGTTATGGCGTAGCCAGGAACCAAATTCGAGAGGGGCTGAGCCAAGCATGGGCCCCCAGCTCTCACGCTACGATGAACAATGAAAGTCTTTCATTATCACAGACCAGATCCAAAAGCTGAAGGCTTGCCGAAGCTGAGAGGGATAAGCTAGCAACCTTCTATTTCAGATGAGGCTCGCCCGGGACATACCCCGCGAGAAGGAGAGGTTCCTATCCAGGCCCCTCTGAGCTGATTTGATCTTTCTTTTCTTCTCTCCCTCTTATTATTATTATTATTTTGGCTAGCAGACACATGTGCCCACCAGAGAGCAATAAAAAGAGAGAGAAAGAGGAGAAAGTATCCACCGAAGAGAATGGTCATGCCACAACCCCTTCTCCATCTCTCCCTCCTTTCAGGACTTTGGGCATGCCCCCAGCCCAAAATCTTGAGCTGCCAGGTCCAGGGCTTGAACTATGTGGTTGGCCTTGTGGGGCCCAGATCCCTTAACCACCAGGCCATGGAGCCAGGCTGAGCCTTTCATTGCTAAGAATCGATGTGTGTATTTCTAATTGCTGGAGCATGCTAATGCCAGCTATCTCTGTCAGATCGAGGTGGGGGATACAGGCCTTTCTCACCTTCTCTGCTTTTCAGTACGATTCAGTGACATGTAAATTCCTTGTAAATTTGAACTGTGAGAAAGTCACTGTTAACATTTTGGTGCATTTTCTTTGATTTTTACATTAAAAAAAAATTGGACTAACTCGATACGTATGGTTTACTTCAGTTTGTTGCTCAATTTTATAATGTATTTACAAAATCAACATTATATTAGAAGTTTTAAAAAATATTAGGGTACAGGGACCAGTTATAGTGTAATGGTTACATCGCTGGACTCCCACATAATCTACTGTGGTTCGAGTCCTGGACCTGGCAGGGCAGCTTAAAACTCATACCAGGTGCATGTGTGTGTGTGCCCAAAATCCCAAGAGGAGAAGGGATTGTGGCATGGCCATCTCCCTTGGGGATAATTTCTTGCTTTCTATTTCTCTGGCAAGCACACACGCCCTATAGCAAAAATCTCTCTTAAAAAAAATTAGGGTACATGGGAATTACCAGGAAAGCTTGCTACAAAACAAATTTCCTCTCCTAGCTAGTCTATGCAACCCAGAAATAGGCATTTTTAACTCACTCTGGGGCAGTTTTTTAGGTGGGTAAGTTTGCTGATCACTCAAAAAGAATGTAAACCATAAATTTTGTTCAATGTCATTTAAGACTATTTGAGGAAGTTACTTCTTTTGTTTTTATTGAATCTGAGATTATAAACTAATTTTGAACTTAAAAATATTCAAAGCATCCAAAAAATTAAAATAAAAAGCAAATGTCCCCTCATCCCTTCACTGACTCCCTCCATAAAGGCTATCCAATCACGTCTCCTAGAAGTAACCACTATTAACTGTTGGAGCACATCCTTCCAGTCTTTCTTCTATGCTTATCCAAACACAAACACATCCTTTTTTGTGTATGGTGTAATGTGATGACTAAAATGGGCTACAGTTCTGAACTTGCTACTGTCAATATGTTTTGAATTATCTATTTTTAATTTTATTTAGCATTACAATTATTTTTTAATATGACGAGAGACAAACAGAAAGTGAAAAAGAAAGCCACCAGGTCTGGGGCTTGAACCACGGAGTTCAGTATCTTAACCTCCATGCCACCTGCCAGTCCCTATTTTCAGTACATTGCAGCCATCTTCCCTCGCTGGAATATTTAGCTTGTCTAACTTATTCTGTGGAAAGCATAATTTTTAACAGCTGCATACTATTCCAAACTGTGAGCATATCATAATTGTGTTGACTCTTTCCTCCACAGTAAGCATTCAATCTCTCCTTTATAACAGGATTTCTCAGCTCAGCCTCTTGTCTATCACTTTCGTTTCTGTCTGTCCTGATGCCTCACCTGTTTCCCCTATTGAGCTTTATCAGACTAAAACCAGCTGGTGGGGAGTTCCCGGGGCAGAGGCTGAGAAATATTGGAAGCCTGTGGTCAGAGGAAGTGCTGACAGTAACACTAGTTTTAGTTCCTGGGGCTTTTCAGGTGTCTTTGCAGTGGCCCTGAGACCACAGAGGTCCCAAGCGCTTCCTCAGTCCCTCAACACTAAGCACACATGGCCCCTTAAAGCACTGGCTGCCCTCTTGAGAACAGAGTCAGGAAATCGCCTTTAATCAGGGAAACCTCAGTTTCGGGTCTGTGTTCTGGGAGGACCTCCCGGGGACCCTCATCCCAGGAGCCTCTTGAGAAAACAGGGCCAGCAGAAATCTAATTTCCTGGTCCTCTGACCTGAAACTATAGCAGGGAAAACACAAGTCATGGCTAGATTTAAAAACAAAATATTTAATGACAGTGGTAGAAGCGCTCACTACATAATGCAGGACTTAAAAAGCAATGCCAGAGGGCTGGCAGGTGACGTGATGGTTGGGGCACTGGACTCCCACATGGCCTACCATGGTTCGAGTCTCAGACCTAGTGGCTTGCTTTCTCACTTTCCCTCTCTCACTCTGACCCTCTCTCATCAAATTAAAAATAAATAGGGACCAGCAGTTAACGTAATGGCTATGTCGCTGAACTCCCATGTAGCTGACCACAGTTCAAGTCCTGGATCCAGTGGCTTAAACTCACGCCGGGCGCGTGTGCGTGCGTGCCCAAGATCCCAAGAGGAGAATGGAGGAGAAGGGATTGCAGCATGACCATCCCCACGGGGGGTGATTTCTCGCTTTCTCTCTGTCTTTCTGGTGTGCATATGAGCCCTATAGCAAAAACCTCTCTAATAAATAAATAAAGTTAAATAAAATCATTCTTTAAAAGAAAAAAAAGCAAGACTAGAATGGTATGAAAATGCTTGCCACTGTGTCCTGAGCCCCTGTGTGGAGCTGGGCAGAGCTTTTCACATCCGTCTTGTCTTCTAATTCCAGCGGCCCCCAGAGCCCCTTACCCGTTCAGCTTCTCCATCAGCATGGGGCAGATCATATTGTTGCTGTCCTTGATTTCCATCAGGAGGATGACGTCGCAGCGTTTGATGACCTGCCGAGACAGAAGCCCCAGGTACTTCAGGCCGTTTTCTACAAATAACAAAGCTTCTCGTGGGGCACTGCCTGGGTGTAACTATGGTGTTGGGTGCTTGTTAAAATGCTTTGGTTTCTTGGGGGACCAGCAGTTAGCATAATGGCTATGTCACTGGACTCCCACATAGTCGACCACGGTTCGCGTCTCGGACCCGGTGGCTTAAAATTCACTCCGGGTGCGTGTGCGTGCGTGCCCAAGATCCCGAGAGGAGAATGGAGGAGAAGGGATTGCGGCGTGACCATCCCCCCTAGAGGGTGATTTCTCGCTGTCTGTCTCTGTCTGTCTGGCAAGCGCACGTGCCCTATAGCAAAAACCTCTCCAAAAAAAAAAAAAAGCTTTGGTTTCTTTCCTGAACTAAATGAAGGATGTCTTGAGGTGGGTGTTTGTGTGTTCGTTTCAAAGACAAGGAGCCTGCAGCTCAGGGAAGGTGCCCTAAATTACTCCATCACCCAGCTAGAAAGTGGCTGAGGCAGAATTTGAACCCAGGTAATCCAAGACCATATTCATGACCCTTGCATATTCTACCTCTTGGCTTTGCTTAACTAATAATAATAATAACAATTTTTAAAAAGAATCATTTTATTTAACTTTATTTATTATTGTTATTATTTTCTAGTTTGATCCGAGAGACAGAGAGAGAGAGGGAAAGTGAGAAAGCAAGCCACCAGGTCTGGCACTTGAACCGTGGTCGGCCATGTGGGAGTCCAGCACCTTTAACCACCATAACACCTGCCAGCCCCAATAATAACATTTTTTAAAGAAAGAATTATTGTTTATTTAATTTTATTTATTTATTATTTTTAAATTTGCTATAGGGCACATTCGTTCACCATAGAGTCAGGGAGAGGGAAAGTGAGAAAGCAAGCTGCCAGGTCTGGAACTCGAACCACAGTCAGTCATGCGGGATTTCAGAACTTTAACCACCACGCCACCTGCTGGCCTCAATAATAACAATCTAGGAAGCCCTTAGTAAGAGAACTACTAGGCAGGCTATCACAGAAATAGAGGTATGATGACAACGGTAGCTGCGGTAAGAGCTCACATTTATTGCGCACCTACTTGGAGCCTCACAACACCCTCAGAGACAGCTGTCGTCATTGGCCCGTAAAACATGGTGGCAGCAAGGCCACAGTTCAGTCACAGACATGCAGCTCTTTGTCCACACCCAGGAGCTACCCACTCTCGAGGTGACTGGCTGGGGGACAGTCCCAAATCAAGGCCTTATAGCTCACTGGAGGGTGCTGCCCTGGAAGATCAAGGTGTGCTCTCTGCAGGCACGTCCCTGGAGGATGTGGCCACCCCAGGCCAGCATGGGATGGAGGCCCAGTCACTCTGGAAGCAGCCAGACATGCGCATGGAGGCGAAAGTTGTGATTCCCGGTCCCATACTGTGAAGGTGAGAGGTCGCACTTACCAGGTGGCCAAACAGAAGAAGCAGTACAGCCAACACTTTGTCAGTGCTGTGCCCAACTTTGGCAAGAAGGAGGGCCCCGATGCCAATTCTTAAGCCCTTTGTAATCCCAGTTTTCTCTAATAAAGCCAAAGGTCCAAAACCAAAATCCACTAACTACACATAGACAGAAACCACGTACAGAGCGGTT